TCCGACATGTTTACGTTTTATCTCCGTGGTTCTCTCGTGTCGTGTCAGTGATTTTCAAAGCGGCATGCTTCTCATTTTTTATCTTTGTGAAGTTCTCCCACACTTTGGAGGACTTGGGTCGAACAGTTTTCGCTGCGTTGGTCATTTGTAAAATTTACTTAAATTTACTTTGAAAACAGACTCTGCTCTGCTTCCTCCTCCCCCCTCGCTCTGTTCAACTCGCGCTGCAGTTTTTTTTTTTTTCAAACTTTATTCAGTCAGTCAGCATTGACAATGAACTGCAGGTGAACAAAACGAAACGGCTCCGCAGCGCCGTGAAAGATGCATAATCGCGCGACACAACGAATCGATAACGAAATTCGTTGCCAACGCTTTTAATCATCGATTTTTATCGATTTTTATCGATTTTTATCGATTTTATCGATTCGTTGTTGCAGCCCTAGGTACAATTACACGATTGTTATTTGCAGTCCTTTCAGGCTGTATACAACATCTAAAAACTTTAAAATAAAAGCATTCTAAATTATGTGCACAATACATTAGTTTCTTCAAACTGTATTTATTAAAATAAATGAGTTACAAATGAAAATATTTAAAGGCTAACCTTATGATGCCACTAATGACATTCCTTGGTGGATTCAAGCACTTCAGGTAGTCTGACACCAGGATCCTCAAGTCTCCTTCGTTTTCTAGCTCCTGCACATAAAGCTCTGTAAACCTGGAAAGTAAGAAACACAAAGAACTTCACATTAATTACAGTTTTTGGCTTGGCTATCACATGATTGGAAATAATTGTTGTAAATCTGCTTGTGGTTCCAGTCAACCATGTGATGATAAAACCCATTTAAGACATTTCTCCTGATTCTTAGAATGGGTTTTGCTCTTGAACGCCTGTGGTGGACTTCTTTATGATAGCTGCCCAACTGGTGGAAACATGAGTGGATAAAATATTGCATTTCATTCACTGTGAATGTCAAATGTCAAAAACAGATGACATTGTTAAACCCTGTCTCATTAAATCACTATCGAACATATTGATAATGTAGATTTTACATTGGATTTCTTTTTTTTAACCAAATAATTCAACACAATATAAGTGTTAACACAAGTGGGCTAGGTTGTACTTTCTCTGCACTTCATACAAGAAGCATGAAACTGGTGCAGATGACATGATTTAACCTTTTTTGTTTGTTTTCTTTTTGAATCGGGGCTTAATTTGTAAACCGACTGATGCCAGAACACAAATAGCGTGTGCTCCAGCTGGGGGGGGGTTAAAGTCTAGTCCTCTGGACATTCAAAAAACAAAACAAAGCAAAACAAACAAAAAAAATGTAGAAACGTTTCGTCTTTCGTCCGAAAGACGTTCAGTCTGAGGTGCTGTATTCAGTCCTGAGTTATTGCTCTTCTTGCTCCAGTCTCAGTTACCACTGACTTCAGGTGCTTCAATTCTCAGTTGTCCAGCTAAGGACAATCCATCCATTTCTTTTAGATAATAAATTGGACTGTCTTTTTGACATTTTGATCGCTGGTATTTTGACAAATTAGTGCTGTTGTTTTGACACGTGACATACTGTGAATAATCAAACATTTCTCTTATATATATATATATAAATAATTTTATTTATTTTTTAATGCTTTTTTTTTATTATGTCTGAAATGTATCCAGCAACTCAAATCTCCACCCCCAAAAGTCCAAAGTTATTGCACATTTTTATTTTGATTATTTATTAAAAATACAATGAGAGGAGATGTTGCCCGGTCTGTGGAGTGGATGTTCTGGCCGCACTACGTGCACCAGCTCGCGCACACGCTCCTGCCCAGCAGAGACGTGGGCCACATGTCCCGTGGGGCTGAGCGTCTTCATCCACCTTCAGCTGTGTGTATATGTCCATGTTTAGGAGTTCAGACACATCGGCAGCTGTGCACGCTCAGCTAGGTGAAGCTGACACCCCACCCACATCAAAAATTCCAACAAATATAATGAGTGTGGGGTGTCAGCTTCACCCAGCTTGCATGCTCTGCAAAGCTGTCTGGAGATGCTCCTGTGTGTAAAACTTGCACTGTCTGCAGGGCACACAGCTGAAGGTGGATGAAGACGCTCAGCCCCACGGGACATGCGGTCCGCCTTTCTGCTGGGCAGGAGCGTGTGCGCGAGCTAGTGTACGTAGTGCAGCCAGAACATCCACTCCACAGACTGGGCAACGTCTCCTCTCATTGTATTTTTAATAAATAATCAAAATAAAATGTGTGATGACTTCAGACTTTTAGGGGCGGAGATTAGGAGCTTTGCAGAGAGTGGTGAAGGCTGCACAGAAATCTGTTGGAATTAGTCTCCCCACCATCACAGACATCTACACCTCCAGATGCAGGAAGAG